TAAACTAGCTTGATAGAATTTCGGCATTTGGTTGGTGTCTAGCTATTTTTTTAATTATAAAATAATTTTTCAAAATAAATTTCACTGCACAAATACATCTATTCATGTCAAAATTCAGAAACAAACTGTTAAAGAGTGAGTGAAAAAGTCTATAGACCCATGTTCAAACCTGACATAAGTAGCCTCCTCTCAACTTGACAAAGGTAAGTTTTCAAAATAAAAATATTAGACTTGGAATAGTAGAAATCAAATTAAAATAAATAAATAAATAAAAAAGATACCAAAAAAATCAATAAATAATAAGAAATAAATGTGAATGAGTAAATAAATAAATACATTATATAAGTATTTATGAATAAAAAAATGGAAAAAACAGTATACACAACAATAAAATCGAACCTGAGCACACAAGCGTATGAGTCAGGAGCATTACCACTCACGCCACAGCGCGCTCAAGCGGAAGTACGCATAACTTATACATAAAGTGCTAAAGAAAAATTTAAGTTTGTTTTTCTCGATTATATTTGAGTATTGCACTTTAGTATTTTACAGGTAGTACACTCACATGGTGTACTGCTTCTACACCAATGATCATCAAAATCCATTTCCCCAAAGCTGTAGGGTCTCCTTGTAAGATTTTTAACATATTTATAAAATTAAAATTTTATAAACTTATGTTAAAATTATTATATTAAATTAATATCATATTAAAAATACTAATATGATGATAATTTTCAGCATAAATTTTTCAGGTTATATGAATTTATGAATTAATATTGACTTTTGGTATATTTTTCATGTTTAAAAATAAGAAAACACATTCAAACATTTAAGGAGGCAGAAAATTTTTTAGTTGTACAATGATGAAAATATTCTAAAAATTTTTAATTTATTTATTTTATTTATTTATGCATGCTGGTTTCACTCATGATACAGAGAATACAAACCTATACTAATCATTATAAAAACAGTAAAACCACAATAATACATGAATTAATGAATTATTACAGAAAAAACAAAGAATATATACATAAATATAATACAATTTTACAAAACTGACAATAAATAATAATTTAAAATATCAACATAATCAAAATTATAGGGAGAACTATCCAAAGAAAATAAAAAACAAATTGTATATAAAATAACTACATCCATCTAAAAACAGAAGAAAAATTAATTATCATGTTGAAACAGCAGATAGTCCCCCAATATTTCTTAGGCTTTAACACACATTTAAAGGAAAAAAGAACACTATTTCTGCACAAAATTAAATGATCCAAAATGAAAAACAAATCAAAATATGCACCAATCTACTTGAATGACAACTAAAACAAAATAATCATCATAAAATTACCAAAAAAATAATTTAACTTTCTGGATAAAGAAAAATAAATCAAAATTATGTAAATTACCAATAAGGTCCAAAAATTTTTCAAAAGAAATAGTAAAAACACCAGAAATATTTTCATGTAGTTTAGAAAAATTAATACACTTAGCTATCACATGATATGCATTCAGAGACTGATCATCTTGGCAATGTATATAAATGTCTCTGCAATAATTCTGCAAAAAATTAAGAGAATTACATCTAACTTGCGTTATTGTAGAACTAATATTATAAGAGATGTTATTATTATTNATAAAAATATTAGTCTTGGAATAGTAGAAATCAAATTAAAATAAATAAATAAATAAAAAAGATACCAAAAAAATCAATAAATAATAAGAAATAAATGTGAATGAGTAAATAAATAAATACATTATATAAGTATTTATGAATAAAAAAATGGAAAAAACAGTATACACAACAATAAAATCGAACCTGAGCACACAAGCGTATGAGTCAGGAGCATTACCACTCACGCCACAGCGCGCTCAAGCGGAAGTACGCATAACTTATACATAAAGTGCTAAAGAAAAATTTAAGTTTGTTTTTCTCGATTATATTTGAGTATTGCACTTTAGTATTTTACAGGTAGTACACTCACATGGTGTACTGCTTCTACACCAATGATCATCAAAATCCATTTCCCCAAAGCTGTAGGGTCTCCTTGTAAGATTTTTAACATATTTATAAAATTAAAATTTTATAAACTTATGTTAAAATTATTATATTAAATTAATATCATATTAAAAATACTAATATGATGATAATTTTCAGCATAAATTTTTCAGGTTATATGAATTTATGAATTAATATTGACTTTTGGTATATTTTTCATGTTTAAAAATAAGAAAACACATTCAAACATTTAAGGAGGCAGAAAATTTTTTAGTTGTACAATGATGAAAATATTCTAAAAATTTTTAATTTATTTATTTTATTTATTTATGCATGCTGGTTTCACTCATGATACAGAGAATACAAACCTATACTAATCATTATAAAAACAGTAAAACCACAATAATACATGAATTAATGAATTATTACAGAAAAAACAAAGAATATATACATAAATATAATACAATTTTACAAAACTGACAATAAATAATAATTTAAAATATCAACATAATCAAAATTATAGGGAGAACTATCCAAAGAAAATAAAAAACAAATTGTATATAAAATAACTACATCCATCTAAAAACAGAAGAAAAATTAATTATCATGTTGAAACAGCAGATAGTCCCCCAATATTTCTTAGGCTTTAACACACATTTAAAGGAAAAAAGAACACTATTTCTGCACAAAATTAAATGATCCAAAATGAAAAACAAATCAAAATATGCACCAATCTACTTGAATGACAACTAAAACAAAATAATCATCATAAAATTACCAAAAAAATAATTTAACTTTCTGGATAAAGAAAAATAAATCAAAATTATGTAAATTACCAATAAGGTCCAAAAATTTTTCAAAAGAAATAGTAAAAACACCAGAAATATTTTCATGTAGTTTAGAAAAATTAATACACTTAGCTATCACATGATATGCATTCAGAGACTGATCATCTTGGCAATGTATATAAATGTCTCTGCAATAATTCTGCAAAAAATTAAGAGAATTACATCTAACTTGCGTTATTGTAGAACTAATATTATAAGAGATGTTATTATTATTATAAACAAAACTATCAAAAAATGATTTATTTAAATATTTATACCAGGTATTATAAGAACTCAAATTAATATGCCTATTCAAATCCAAAATATAATTATCAAAATAATTTAATTTCAGTAAACAGCAACAGTTATAATTATTTAATAATTCATCAAAATGAATACCATTATTAACACAGTTATTCCTTAAATTTTTGGTCCACAAAAAGTCATTCTTATTTAGAATATAATATAAACACCTTCTACTCCAATGTTTTTCATCCAATTCAAACACTTATTTAAAACTACAAAGGAAAAAAGGCAATAATGAACACTCCTTAAAAATTAAATATCTTGGAGTACACCGAGATAAACCAAATAATTTTTTAATAAACGTAGCCAACACTGGATCTAAATCATCAGATTGATAACCCCATATCTCAGAAGCATATATATAACAAGGACAAAGTAACAACTGAATTAAAAATCCTCAGACAATCTAAAATGTTAAATTCTATTCTCAGATTTGCTTGATATAAATAATGTGCTAAACTTAACATTTTGATGGAATATTTCTTTTAAATTTAAGGAATGTAAATTATGCAATAAAGAATAACATTAAACATTTTGATAATTTTTGAAAATATATGGCACTATCTTATATTTTGAATCATTTGAACATGCAGTTTTTGAAAAAGTTATTGATTTTTAATGATGGTGATATTTTTTATTGATATCAAATTATTTATGTTAAATTGTCTTTCTACTGAATAACTTTGTGTATAAATTTCAAAACTAGACGCATCACTTTTGAAGATTTAGAAAAAATAGCACCTTACAGACCAACAAGGCACGTTTTAAGACCAATAACAGAAATGAAAGCAGTTGATGTAAGTTTAATAAATGACATATAATTGTGTGTTTGTATATCAATTTATAAATATAATGTAAATTGTATATTATTTAATTAATTATTATTTACTTTACTATTTACTATACTATTGTTTAAGTAGTAGTTAGTACATTTATTATTATGAAAATATCTTTTCCTTTTTTCTACAAAATTTTTTTAATAGTTATTTTATGAACTATTGTTTTTTTCAAAATTATTTTTGAAATACCTAAGAAAAATTGACTGAACAGATGTATCTTTTAACATTATAAAAATATAGATTATTTATACATTATTTTATTAAAAATTCTTTAAGTAATGATTCAGTAAAATTACACCAAATTCATATTTGTTTAATTAGAAGTCCTAAAAAAATCAAACAAAAGGATTTGGAAATTTGATTTACCTTAAACTATTTATATATTAAAAATTTTAGTAAATTTATGAAATCAAAATTTTACTTAAAACTAATAGTTTATGTGCATTTTGAAAATATTATTATAAATCTTGAATAGGTTTAAATTAATACTAAAGTTAAGATTATTTTAAATTAATGGGTAAAATAATTAAATAGTTGGATAAAATTAATATATACAGTAATACCCCGACTTACGCGATTTTCAAATCTTGTCAATTCCTCTTTTGTTTGAGCGCCTCGCAACTCTCGATTACTCACTCCCCTCACACTATTGTTTGGCTTACGTGCTCGGACGTGTCGAGCGGAATCGACACATAGCTACAATTTATTTTGTGTTATTTATTTCTGTGTTTGTTATATCTACAGAGACNGTAATAATTATAAGTAATACATAATTAAATATATTAATAATATATATTAAATATATATTAAATTTAACGTGAGATGATTGTTTAACTGCCTACCTCTAGTTAAAACTGCTTAATATTTTAATTAATTAGCAACACTGTAGCCCAATAATAGTTTGGATGTATCGTTTGATTAACTAGCATAACAAATTTATACAACCAATATGTGAAAATGCATGTTGTTGAATATTTAAACATTTTAAGTTATTAATATAATTTAAAATTATCAATTATTTAGGTAGCTGGTGAAGCACCTAGTCATGTTGTTACATTTCCTTACTTCATGGCATTTAATAGTTTGTTAAATAATATGGAATTAGTAAAGAAAATTTATTTACATTTTACCAGAGGAAATACTAATTTAGAAGTTACCAAAGGTTAGTATATAAACTTGATGTATATTTTGAAATTTATTAAGTATTTTTTCTTTATTTATATTGCATTAAATATTATTACAATTTTTAGAAGAATTTTTATCAGCTTCTCTTCAGATGTCACAAATTACACCTTTGGAAATAGATATTTTGTTTGAATTATCAGGATTTTTGCATCATCATACAGGGTAAATTTAAATAAATTTTTAAACTTTATACCAATTTAAATAACATTTTTATGATTTTTGTTCTATAATATGATATGAGATATATTTTTATAGTCTGTATTTATATTAAAAGCAGTATATTTCATGCTGTTAGTAATAAATATTAAAATGTAGAGAAACAGAAGAAAAATATGAATAATGAAGTTTACATTTGACATTACAAAATTCTAACAAAGTCAGTCACCTAAATTGAGTGAAATAAGAAAGGTTTAATAAATGCTTCTTGAAATAAGACTATGTAAAATTAAAAAAATGCATTTGCAATTTTTGTTGTATATATTAAAAAAAAGAGCAGAAAATATACAATAACTTGTGACAAAAAAAATTATTTTGAAAAATTAAGTCAAATTTTAGTTTGGTAATCCTTTCATTCTGTAATAGAATAATATTGTCAATATCAATAATGTTATCCTTACTATAAAATGAAAGAAGTAATTAAATAAACTTTTTAGATTAATTCTTGTAACTTACTCCATTTTAATTAAAATTAAAAACAGTTTTACAACTTTAATTATTATTATTATTTCAATAATGTAATTTTTATAATAAATTTATTATAAATAGATTACAATAAAATGAAGCATTTAGAAATATGTTTTCTATCCTTCGTTGTAAACCATTTTATCCCATATTTGATTTAAAAAGTATTATAAAGAAATCAGTTAAAACAATATTTAAAATTTTTTATTAGAAATTTTTTATGTGATAAATTTATAATAAGGTTGTAACAAAATATTTCTAATTCTAATTCGATAATTTGTTAAGTTTATTTTTAAAGAATTGTTATCTTTTGATATTTTTTACAAATTATTTTGACCTTCTAATTTTTGATTAGCCAATAATAGTTTTCTTTCTTACTTGTATTTATTTTATTATATCTCTAACATTTATAAGCATTGTTATATTCACTTTTGGGAGACTTAAAATCATATTTATTTTAAATGTTAAAAACTTTATTCTAAACATTATTCAAAATTCTAAGTAGTTCTCACATGTATTAGTGAAAGTAAATTATAGAAGTTTTTAACATTGACAAAGAGATCCTATGGCTTTGGGGAAACAGATTTTGTTGATTTTTGGTGTAGAGGTAGTACACCATGTGAGTGTACTACCTGTAAAATACTAAAGTGCAATACTCAAATATAATCGAGAAAAACAAACTTAAATTTTTCTTTAGCACTTTATGTATAAGTTATGCGTACTTCTGCTTGAGCGTGCTGTGGCTTGAGTGGTAATGCTCCTGACTCGTACACTTGCGTGCTCAGGTTTGATACTCTTGTTGTGTATGCTTTTTTTCCCGTTTTTTTATTCATAAATACTTATAATGTATTTATTTATTTACTCACTCATTTATTTCTTAATGTATGTATGTATGTCTCTTTAATCCGAAATTAAGTTCGGTAGACTATCATTACAGCTTTCAGGTTAGACACGTCTTTTATTGTTTCCACATATGCATTTCAGGCTTATATAAATTCTAAGTCCCTCTTCAGTGCAATACTGCAAATTATTAAAAAAACCACAATTAGTAACATGACAAAATTTCTCGCATGTAGGTCATACTTACTGACATAAAACTATCATACTTAAAAATTGTCACACTTATACGATACATATGGTTTTGTCTTCTAAAACCACGGTGTATAAAGGGTAACATTGGAAAGATTTTTTAATACAGCCATTAAAAATACCACACATACATTTTCCAAACATTAATATGGAAAACCTAATATATTAATAATTTTATAATTTTTTACTCAATATCATCACATATTCTAATAAAATAACAATATAATATGATACATACTCACTTTTATATTTTGCAACATGTGCTCATAAAATCTTATATAAGTACAACTTTGAAAGAATGTATATTTTCTACAATATAACGTTGCAGTAACTGTAATTATAATCGTTTTACAGGTTAATTATATGTAGCATAGTAATATTAAAAACATTTTTAAGAGAATACATACACAATTTCACAATATATTTCCAATTATTTTCTGACACAACACTGTATGATAAATACATTACAATCACTTTTTTCCATTAGTGCCACCTATTATATTGTACCACTGTTGATCTATTTGCATACCATTTGATATATTGATTAAATTATCATCATTAAAATTTATAATCTCGATATGTTCCTTAAATTTACATTTATACATATCTTTTTCCGAATGAATTATTTTTATATTATTTTTATCTACTTGACAATTACTATTTTTTATATGGTTGAACCATGGAGAATTATTGTATTTTAATCTAATTGCTGCTTTGTTTTTTTTTAATTCTTAATTCTAATGTTCTACTAGTTTCACCTATATAATTTTTTAGTTTTTGGCAATTACAATTAATTTTATATACAACTCCTGATTTTTTTAATTTATCAACATTCATTTTATATTTATTATTACTATTGTAAATATTACATGAAATTTTATTGGTCAAAGATTGGTTATAATAACAGCTACCAAAGGTAATATTTATTTATTTCTTATTATTTATTGATGTTTTTTTATGATTTTGTCTCATTTCGACAAAGTGGTCATATGTCCAAGAATCAGTCAAATGATATTTATAAAAAATAGTTTCACCACGTTTAACATCTTTTTCCCATAATTTTAAATGATCCATTCTTTTCAAATGACTACATTTGTTTTTTGTAATGTTTATAGTTTCCACATAGGGTGGGCTTTTGCTACTTTTAAAACTTTGATTTTATATTCCAGTGAAATATATTCCTTTATCCTATTTTTTTTTAATCAGGTACATAGTCATTAGATGAGTCATCTTTAACTGCTTCAAAATTTCCTTCTGTACACTCTTCTTGGATATAAATCAATTCATCATCAATTATAAAGTTTTTTCATTCAACACATCCAATGTATTATTGTATAATTCTGTGCCTATCAGAATAGCATCTTCAGATAGTGTATCAGAAGATGATGTTGCAATTAAATTATTTTCAAAAAGTAAACTCTCATAATACACTACTCCATCTTTTAGCCGCTGCTTCGATACATCACTATAAAGAGTTATCATCAACAGTTTTTTTTGTCACAATGTGAAGAACTTGCTTCTCTTGATGACATTTTTTTAATTATACAAACAACATTGCTAGACCAGATATATAATATAGCTAGACACCAATCAAATGCTGAAATTTTATCAGGCTAGTTTAAGGCTAATAACTAAATGAATTACATAACCAATTTGGCTCTAGAGGTAAACGTTAGGCACCATCTCGTATTAACAGCGGTTCTAAATTATTTAAATTAATTTATTTAATTATAATTATTAATGTTAATACAAGAAGGCACCTAACGCTTGCATCTAGAGCCAAATTTGTTATGTAATTCATTTAGTAATTAGCCTTAAACTAGCTTGATAGAATTTCGGCATTTGGTTGGTGTCTAGCTATTTTTTTAATTATAAAATAATTTTTCAAAATAAATTTCACTGCACAAATACATCTATTCATGTCAAAATTCAGAAACAAACTGTTAAAGAGTGAGTGAAAAAGTCTATAGACCCATGTTCAAACCTGACATAAGTAGCCTCCTCTCAACTTGACAAAGGTAAGTTTTCAAAATAAAAATATTAGACTTGGAATAGTAGAAATCAAATTAAAATAAATAAATAAATAAAAAAGATACCAAAAAAATCAATAAATAATAAGAAATAAATGTGAATGAGTAAATAAATAAATACATTATATAAGTATTTATGAATAAAAAAATGGAAAAAACAGTATACACAACAATAAAATCGAACCTGAGCACACAAGCGTATGAGTCAGGAGCATTACCACTCACGCCACAGCGCGCTCAAGCGGAAGTACGCATAACTTATACATAAAGTGCTAAAGAAAAATTTAAGTTTGTTTTTCTCGATTATATTTGAGTATTGCACTTTAGTATTTTACAGGTAGTACACTCACATGGTGTACTGCTTCTACACCAATGATCATCAAAATCCATTTCCCCAAAGCTGTAGGGTCTCCTTGTAAGATTTTTAACATATTTATAAAATTAAAATTTTATAAACTTATGTTAAAATTATTATATTAAATTAATATCATATTAAAAATACTAATATGATGATAATTTTCAGCATAAATTTTTCAGGTTATATGAATTTATGAATTAATATTGACTTTTGGTATATTTTTCATGTTTAAAAATAAGAAAACACATTCAAACATTTAAGGAGGCAGAAAATTTTTTAGTTGTACAATGATGAAAATATTCTAAAAATTTTTAATTTATTTATTTTATTTATTTATGCATGCTGGTTTCACTCATGATACAGAGAATACAAACCTATACTAATCATTATAAAAACAGTAAAACCACAATAATACATGAATTAATGAATTATTACAGAAAAAACAAAGAATATATACATAAATATAATACAATTTTACAAAACTGACAATAAATAATAATTTAAAATATCAACATAATCAAAATTATAGGGAGAACTATCCAAAGAAAATAAAAAACAAATTGTATATAAAATAACTACATCCATCTAAAAACAGAAGAAAAATTAATTATCATGTTGAAACAGCAGATAGTCCCCCAATATTTCTTAGGCTTTAACACACATTTAAAGGAAAAAAGAACACTATTTCTGCACAAAATTAAATGATCCAAAATGAAAAACAAATCAAAATATGCACCAATCTACTTGAATGACAACTAAAACAAAATAATCATCATAAAATTACCAAAAAAATAATTTAACTTTCTGGATAAAGAAAAATAAATCAAAATTATGTAAATTACCAATAAGGTCCAAAAATTTTTCAAAAGAAATAGTAAAAACACCAGAAATATTTTCATGTAGTTTAGAAAAATTAATACACTTAGCTATCACATGATATGCATTCAGAGACTGATCATCTTGGCAATGTATATAAATGTCTCTGCAATAATTCTGCAAAAAATTAAGAGAATTACATCTAACTTGCGTTATTGTAGAACTAATATTATAAGAGATGTTATTATTATTATAAACAAAACTATCAAAAAATGATTTATTTAAATATTTATACCAGGTATTATAAGAACTCAAATTAATATGCCTATTCAAATCCAAAATATAATTATCAAAATAATTTAATTTCAGTAAACAGCAACAGTTATAATTATTTAATAATTCATCAAAATGAATACCATTATTAACACAGTTATTCCTTAAATTTTTGGTCCACAAAAAGTCATTCTTATTTAGAATATAATATAAACACCTTCTACTCCAATGTTTTTCATCCAATTCAAACACTTATTTAAAACTACAAAGGAAAAAAGGCAATAATGAACACTCCTTAAAAATTAAATATCTTGGAGTACACCGAGATAAACCAAATAATTTTTTAATAAACGTAGCCAACACTGGATCTAAATCATCAGATTGATAACCCCATATCTCAGAAGCATATATATAACAAGGACAAAGTAACAACTGAATTAAAAATCCTCAGACAATCTAAAATGTTAAATTCTATTCTCAGATTTGCTTGATATAAATAATGTGCTAAACTTAACATTTTGATGGAATATTTCTTTTAAATTTAAGGAATGTAAATTATGCAATAAAGAATAACATTAAACATTTTGATAATTTTTGAAAATATATGGCACTATCTTATATTTTGAATCATTTGAACATGCAGTTTTTGAAAAAGTTATTGATTTTTAATGATGGTGATATTTTTTATTGATATCAAATTATTTATGTTAAATTGTCTTTCTACTGAATAACTTTGTGTATAAATTTCAAAACTAGACGCATCACTTTTGAAGATTTAGAAAAAATAGCACCTTACAGACCAACAAGGCACGTTTTAAGACCAATAACAGAAATGAAAGCAGTTGATGTAAGTTTAATAAATGACATATAATTGTGTGTTTGTATATCAATTTATAAATATAATGTAAATTGTATATTATTTAATTAATTATTATTTACTTTACTATTTACTATACTATTGTTTAAGTAGTAGTTAGTACATTTATTATTATGAAAATATCTTTTCCTTTTTTCTACAAAATTTTTTTAATAGTTATTTTATGAACTATTGTTTTTTTCAAAATTATTTTTGAAATACCTAAGAAAAATTGACTGAACAGATGTATCTTTTAACATTATAAAAATATAGATTATTTATACATTATTTTATTAAAAATTCTTTAAGTAATGATTCAGTAAAATTACACCAAATTCATATTTGTTTAATTAGAAGTCCTAAAAAAATCAAACAAAAGGATTTGGAAATTTGATTTACCTTAAACTATTTATATATTAAAAATTTTAGTAAATTTATGAAATCAAAATTTTACTTAAAACTAATAGTTTATGTGCATTTTGAAAATATTATTATAAATCTTGAATAGGTTTAAATTAATACTAAAGTTAAGATTATTTTAAATTAATGGGTAAAATAATTAAATAGTTGGATAAAATTAATATATACAGTAATACCCCGACTTACGCGATTTTCAAATCTTGTCAATTCCTCTTTTGTTTGAGCGCCTCGCAACTCTCGATTACTCACTCCCCTCACACTATTGTTTGGCTTACGTGCTCGGACGTGTCGAGCGGAATCGACACATAGCTACAATTTATTTTGTGTTATTTATTTCTGTGTTTGTTATATCTACAGAGACTCGAGAGACTCTATGTGGTGATTTCTTGTAACCGTGAATGAATCAAAAGACGAGATAAGATTAACGAGAAAATTTATTAGCTTACATACATCCGACTTGGATTTTACACAAATTGGGAAATTATACCCCGACTTACGCGAATTCGACTTCATGGTTATCGCTCGGTCCCACCTATCGCGTAAGTTCAGGGTATTACTGTAGTCAAACATCAATTTAGTATTACCATTTATTGACACTAAATTGAATGTGGTGCTAAACTGAAATAGTCTGAACAAAAAGAATTATATGTAATAATGAGGTTTATTTACAAGTTTGAGTTTTGAGAGTTTAAGTCACATGACGTGACTTGGTGATAACCATGCAGTTTGTAATGCAAAATTATATGTTTAATAATTCATAAAAACCAAAGGATTCTTTATTTAACATTTATGGGGATGATCAGGGACAGATTTATTTATGTAGGGACCATCACTGTTCCTAAGTATCATATATAGTAAAATTAAGAATGTTTGTCTATTATATATACATATAGTACATAAAATAAGAATTTTTAATTTAAATATTTATGAATTTTTTTAATTAAAAATTTTTTGTACTTTGAAAATTTTAAAATTTAAGTACAAAGATTAATTAGAAGGATGCATTTAATGTCTGCTTTGTAGTCAATTATTGTTAAATAGATGAATTATAACTTTATCTGTTGTAAAAGCTGATTTCTGATCTTATTTTGGATTTAAAATATGTTATCAATTCTTCTGTGACATTTTAATATTCAAATGATAATTTAAAAAATAAATATTTCTCCAACAGAGTCCTGCTGATAGAGGTGTTGGTATCCAAATATTAGAAAGCATATATAGGTTTGTTCTTGGTTCTTTCGCAGGAGGTAAGTTATGTTAATTAAAATATTATTATCATTTAAGGAGAATCAGACATCAAAAATATTATGAAAATGTTATTTAATTTATATTGAAAATTCACAAAGGTAATAATTTTTAAATATACGGTAAACAATGGAATATGAATACTAAGTATTGATGAAGAATCTTCATGGCAACTATATTCCATATTTGTACTTATTAAAGTTTTCAACTTTTGGTACATATTTTTAAAATAATCTTGTAACTTAACTTTTTAGAAGTTAAATTTATTAATAATGAAAGATTATTATATTGACTTGTTCTGAACTGTCAATGTTATTGTCAATGTCAATGCATCAATGATATTATTAATTGTTGATTAATTGTTAGATGTTAATTTACTAAAAAGGAAAAAATATATTTATCCAAATTAATATTTAAAAAAATGGAAGAAAGTTTATTATTTTGAGAACTAGATAGAATTCTTATCTTATTATAATCAGCATGTCTATTTCTTTCTTTTTTAAGTTTGATTAAACTTTTAAAATATATTTAAAGTTAATATAAAATGATTTGAAAGTTTTAAAAATCATAAAATTTTATAATTTTGCTTAATTTTTGTTAAAGTAATTGTAATGTTTTCAGTAATTATGACAGCTTTTCATTATAAGTTTTTCCACTTTAAATGATAAAGCAACTTTATTCAATGAGTTTTGCTTTCCAATTAATATTGTGAAATAACAAGATTCTTCACTATTGTATTATCTTCTTTCACTATTGTAAATCCACTATTAGGAACTAATCTTATGAGGGACACGGTTAATCATTGTTTTAGTAGTATTTTATTATTGATGCTCAATCAAAGATTCATTTTGGGCATAAGTCTCTCAAATTAACAGTTTCATGGCAGAGTCAACATTTAATTTGAGAGTACTGTTTGACATAATATTCATCATTTACTAATAATGAATGATTTATGTATTAATAGATTTCATTAAAATGAAACTATTCTTTTGTAATGGATGGAATTTTTATTATGTTAAACTGAAGTTTTTGTTGTTACGGTATTTGTTAAATTGAAATATTTTTTCATTCATCTGAGTAGGAAATTGGTGGATGGGGTTTGAGATATATTCATGGGATTTGAGATATATTCATTATATCAAAAATTGTGTTAAACTGGCATTTGTTGTACTGACATTTCAGTACTTAAACAGGTCAAACTGATGAGGGGCTTATGCCCAAAATGCATCTTTGACTGAGTTTCAACAATAAAATATTTCTAAAACAGTGATTAACTGTGCCCCTCGTATGATTAGTTCCTAATAGTGGATTCACAATAGCAAAAAAAGCATCTTGTTATTTTCAGGGTTCAAAGTCAGGGATTTTCATTAGTGTTTGGAAAAAGTCAGGAAATTTGTCGAAAATTGTCAAAAAGTCAGGGAATTTGTCTCCTTAACTGCGTTGTTGATCTCGTTTGCTGAATATGGATGACCAATCATAGCCATCTGCAGGTGGCAAGAAGTAATGCTGCAATCTTTAATAAGAAAATACACCAGAATCCATTTTGAAATGGTTTTTTTCACCGTTCTGAAGCCATATAATTTTACAGTTGTGGATTAATAACAGGATAAACTACTTTTATGTAATAGTGTTTAATTTTTAATTTTAATAATTCAGCGATTATAAAAAGATGAAATTGTTTATTAGAATAAAAAATAACTAATTAAAAATTTGTTTGCAAACTTTTAAAAGTTGAAATCGTAATTTATTAGAATGTTCACTTCAAAATAGCTAAATAGATCAGTAAAAATCTGTAATTTAATCGTTTTTCAGTTTAAAACATAAAAAATTATAAATAGTTACCCGACGTTTACAGTAAAATACTGGCGCTGACTTGTTGTTGGCACAAGCTTTTTATATTTGTTGTTACGATTTTCCTTGAATGTACTGTACTGCAAGCATATTTTCCCTCTCTCTTCCGTTTTTTTCCGCAACTTCGATACATAGTTTAATAATTAGTTAACTGAAATGATATTGGGTAACAAATATCACTGATTTTGGCAAATTTAGGGCTTAAAAACTGGCAAGATTGATCATGCTTGTAATAAATATTCTGTAGTTATATTTTCGAAAATCAACAGGTAATCCGATAGTTTAACCAATGTTAACTTGCTTATAATTAAAATTTAAAAATTAAAAAGCTGTAAATTTTAAAAAAATTAATTACATTACTAAAAATTAAAATAAATTTGATTATCTTTTGTGCAAAACAACACCAAAACAACTTTTATAGTTAGGTTGCAAAAGAAAGAGATTTGTAGTTACGATTCTCTGTGCTGAGCTTCTATACTTTAATAACGTATAATTGTAATTTCGTTTGTTGTTTATTTCTGTATTTATTTTATTTTATAAGTTTTAAGAATCCCAATTTTTGTAATATTATGACGTCATTGGAATACAAGTATGAGGTTCCAGAATTGTCCGGAACTAAAATAGAAAATCGTAAAATAATTTAATTATTAGAGAGAGAAAGAAATGAACAGAAATTTTTTATAGAAACTTGAGGAATAGTCTAGACCCATGTTTCTCAACCACCAGTCCGCAACTCTAATCTGACTGGTTCGCAAAAACTTTAAAAATATATATTTAACTTGTCATGCGTTGTTCCTGAATAAGAAATATGTAGATTATTAATCCATTTATTGATAGTAAACTGATAGATTGAACAACTTTGAACACGAAAAACTAATCGAATTAAGTTCAGACTTGGGATTTAAAACATTGTTTGAATCAATGCCCATAACACAGTTTTGGATTAAAGTTAAATCTGAATATCCAGTTTTACATGAAAAGGCAGTTAGGATGTTACTACCTTTTTNGTTAAATTTCTTCTGATTTTAATTCGTAAGTAAAATTTTATTATTTTTATTAATCATGAATCGCAAAAAGGCAAATGAAAAGCGACAGAAAACTAAAAAAATGACTAGAATTACAATGGAACTGATAAAAGAGATTGTTGAGAAATACGAAGCTGGCACGCATGTTTGAGATTTTAACTGTTGTTTACCGTATTCCGAGAACGACAATATGGATAATCGCGAAAAATAAAGACATTATTAAATCTGCTAACGTTGCAAAAGGGGTTAAATCAATTTCTAAACAGAGATCGAAGACATTAGATCATGTTGAGAAATTGCTTTTGCTTTGGATAACTGAAAAACAGTGCTGGGGACAGCATATCAGAAGCAATTATATGCAAGAAAGCTAAAAAGATACACGCTGATCTCACGAAAAATCAAGCAGGAACTAGCCAGGAAAGCGAGGTGTTTAAAGCCAGCCATTTTTTTTACACGAGAACGGATGAATCATTTTTACATTACTTCTTATGGGAAAGGTTGGTTTGGTATACGTCCAATTCAGTATAAGTCCAAACATCGGGAACGGATTAAGGTCGTATACCGAGGTTCCACTGTAATTTGAAGAATTCAAAATTTCAATTAAACAATTTTATTGAAAATTTTTAAGTAATACAGATAAAGTTGAGGGAAAATTGTTGTTGAAAGCAAAAAAATATATATTTAGAATTAAGCACAAAGTTGCTATAGAGAACTTATTACACAGGAACACATTTTTTTGAAGGAAAAAGTAGATTTTATTTTCTATTTATCACAAAAGGAAATGCATATTGGACTTTTTGTCCCTCACCAGTCCTTAATGTATAAAAATGGTAAAACTGGAATCATATCTAATAGTGACCGCTGGAATAACTAAGTATTTAAAAAACTTAGGTAAAACAAGTAAAACTGAAAAGGTAAAACTTGTTAAAATATAGAAAAATTGGCAAATAAAAGGGTAAAAACATAAAAAGTTTAAAATAAAACAATAAAAACTGAATAAAAATAAAGATGTAAAATGCTTCACTTTGGGGTTGTCATCCAGGTAGTACTGTATATTGATACTCAACAAGTACTCCAACTGCAATAGTAACAATTGCTTTGAGTCCATTTGTGGAAAAGTGGTTACACTTTCTTGAAAATGTGTAAACCACGCTTTACAGAGAACCATTCTCATGGTTTAGCTCATGGATGCTACATACCAAAATATCGTATAATACGCTTTCATATAAATATCGTATATACGCTTTCAATGATTCTATTCAGAGGCAGCACAGCTTCCCTATCATCAAATGTCACCGCAGGCCACTGCTATCTACAGTATCAAACCATCTGTTATTTTTGTGAAAAATACCAGAATACTGTGCTGTATATATCATTTCACTGATACAGTGATTTGTTATGCAAGTCATACCACTTGGTCACCTCATTCTCCATATTTTAATCTGATTTTTGGTTAATAAATAATTCTTGATAAATAGTATAGTTCTTGATGAACTATACTATTTATACTATTATCAAGAACTTGTTGCAAGTTTGGCAGCTTTGAAAGACAGTATCACATTGCATGTGAGAAGCATCACATGGGATCTGTTGTGGTCTGTCATAGAATGCACTGTTCATCAATTTCAGATTTTATACCTTCAAATGGAAATCACATTGAGTAGTATCTTCTACATTGCTAATGTCTATGTATAGCACACATATCTTGTACAGATAAAATGTTTGTTGCTTGCAATGCCAAAAGTGCTTGTTTGACAGTTACTAGGAAATTCCCTAGATAAAGGTTCTTTTGCTAATTTGATGAATTCAACTTAGAGATATTTGTTTGGTTGATGATAAAATGAATAAAAGATATTAAGGAAATCACTCTGCACTTTTCTTTTTTATTTGAATACAAAATCAAACTGAATTTAAAGTATAAAATATCAAATTGAATTCAAATATTCAGAATTAAACATTTAGCCAATGTTATTGTGGTGGCTATGTCAGATTTGGTTGCATTTGAACTGCTCAGTATCTCTGCAGACAGTATTGAATAGGGGCATTTTAATTACAGTCATCTGGTAAATATACAATATACAGTTTTATTGATGTAGTAACATTTTTTATTTACGTTTTTAATCCTTTCCAAAATTGGAGGTTAAACCTTTAAAAGCCTTGACTTACATTAAATGCATTATTTATTTAAGCATACTGGTTTCACCGTGATGCGTGGAAAACAAACATATACAAATAATCATTACAAAAAAGTAAAACCACAATAATACTGTAATTAATGAATTATTACAGAAAAAAACAGAATATACACATAAATATAATACAAATTTTACAAAACCGACAATAAATAATAATTTAAACAAAATATCAACATTATCAAAATTATCCAAAAAAATAAAAACACAAATTGTATAAAAAGTAACCTAAAACAGAAGAAAAATTAATTATCATGTCAAAACAGTGGATAGTCTCCCAATATTTCTTAGGCTTGAACACACATTTAACAGATAAAATAATGCCACCTCTGTGCAAAATTAAATGATCAAAATGCAAAACAAATCAAAATATGTGCCAATCTACTTGAATGACAACTAAAACAAAATAATCGTCATAAAATTACATAAAAAATAGTTTAACTTTCTGGATAAAGAAAAATAAATCTAAATTATCTAAATTACCAATAAGATCGAAAAATTTTTCAAAAGAAATAGAAACACCAAAAATACTTTCACATAGTGTAGAAAAATTAATACATTTAACTATCATGTGATGTGCATTTATTGAAATTGAAATTATTTATTGGCGTAGAAGGCTTTCGCCTGTTACAAGGGCGTTTTAAATATTCATATTAACATCTCATATAATATTATTTTAACAACTTTGATTTTTTCTATTTATTAAATTGAAATTTATTGGCGTAGAAGGCTTTCGCCTGTTACAAGGGCGTTTTAAATACGCATATTAACATCTCATATAATATTATTTTAACAACTTTNCAAAATTAAATCATCCAAAATGAAAAACAAATCAAAATATGCACCAATCTACTTGAATGACAACTAAAACAAAATAATCATCATAAAATTACCAAAAAAATAATTTAACTTTCTGGATAAAGAAAAATAAATCAAAATTATGTAAATTACCAATAAGGTCCAAAAATTTTTCAAAAGAAATAGTAAAAACACCAGAAATATTTTCATGTAGTTTAGAAAAATTAATACACTTAGCTATCACATGATATGCATTCAGAGACTGATCATCTTGGCAATGTATATAAATGTCTCTGCAATAATTCTGCAAAAAATTAAGAGAATTACATCTAACTTGCGTTATTGTAGAACTAATATTATAAGAGATGTTATTATTATTATAAACAAAACTATCAAAAAATGATTTATTTAAATATTTATACCAGGTATTATAAGAACTCAAATTAATATGCCTATTCAAATCCAAAATATAATTATCAAAATAATTTAATTTCAGTAAACAGCAACAGTTATAATTATTTAATAATTCATCAAAATGAATACCATTATTAACACAGTTATTCCTTAAATTTTTGGTCCACAAAAAGTCATTCTTATTTAGAATATAATATAAACACCTTCTACTCCAATGTTTTTCATCCAATTCAAACACTTATTTAAAACTACAAAGGAAAAAAGGCAATAATGAACACTCCTTAAAAATTAAATATCTTGGAGTACACCGAGATAAACCAAATAATTTTTTAATAAACGTAGCCAACACTGGATCTAAATCATCAGATTGATAACCCCATATCTCAGAAGCATATATATAACAAGGACAAAGTAACAACTGAATTAAAAATCCTCAGACAATCTAAAATGTTAAATTCTATTCTCAGATTTGCTTGATATAAATAATGTGCTAAACTTAACATTTTGATGGAATATTTCTTTTAAATTTAAGGAATGTAAATTATGCAATAAAGAATAACATTAAACATTTTGATAATTTTTGAAAATATATGGCACTATCTTATATTTTGAATCATTTGAACATGCAGTTTTTGAAAAAGTTATTGATTTTTAATGATGGTGATATTTTTTATTGATATCAAATTATTTATGTTAAATTGTCTTTCTACTGAATAACTTTGTGTATAAATTTCAAAACTAGACGCATCACTTTTGAAGATTTAGAAAAAATAGCACCTTACAGACCAACAAGGCACGTTTTAAGACCAATAACAGAAATGAAAGCAGTTGATGTAAGTTTAATAAATGACATATAATTGTGTGTTTGTATATCAATTTATAAATATAATGTAAATTGTATATTATTTAATTAATTATTATTTACTTTACTATTTACTATACTATTGTTTAAGTAGTAGTTAGTACATTTATTATTATGAAAATATCTTTTCCTTTTTTCTACAAAATTTTTTTAATAGTTATTTTATGAACTATTGTTTTTTTCAAAATTATTTTTGAAATACCTAAGAAAAATTGACTGAACAGATGTATCTTTTAACATTATAAAAATATAGATTATTTATACATTATTTTATTAAAAATTCTTTAAGTAATGATTCAGTAAAATTACACCAAATTCATATTTGTTTAATTAGAAGTCCTAAAAAAATCAAACAAAAGGATTTGGAAATTTGATTTACCTTAAACTATTTATATATTAAAAATTTTAGTAAATTTATGAAATCAAAATTTTACTTAAAACTAATAGTTTATGTGCATTTTGAAAATATTATTATAAATCTTGAATAGGTTTAAATTAATACTAAAGTTAAGATTATTTTAAATTAATGGGTAAAATAATTAAATAGTTGGATAAAATTAATATATACAGTAATACCCCGACTTACGCGATTTTCAAATCTTGTCAATTCCTCTTTTGTTTGAGCGCCTCGCAACTCTCGATTACTCACTCCCCTCACACTATTGTTTGGCTTACGTGCTCGGACGTGTCGAGCGGAATCGACACATAGCTACAATTTATTTTGTGTTATTTATTTCTGTGTTTGTTATATCTACAGAGACTCGAGAGACTCTATGTGGTGATTTCTTGTAACCGTGAATGAATCAAAAGACGAGATAAGATTAACGAGAAAATTTATTAGCTTACATACATCCGACTTGGATTTTACACAAATTGGGAAATTATACCCCGACTTACGCGAATTCGACTTCATGGTTATCGCTCGGTCCCACCTATCGCGTAAGTTCAGGGTATTACTGTAGTCAAACATCAATTTAGTATTACCATTTATTGACACTAAATTGAATGTGGTGCTAAACTGAAATAGTCTGAACAAAAAGAATTATATGTAATAATGAGGTTTATTTACAAGTTTGAGTTTTGAGAGTTTAAGTCACATGACGTGACTTGGTGATAACCATGCAGTTTGTAATGCAAAATTATATGTTTAATAATTCATAAAAACCAAAGGATTCTTTATTTAACATTTATGGGGATGATCAGGGACAGATTTATTTATGTAGGGACCATCACTGTTCCTAAGTATCATATATAGTAAAATTAAGAATGTTTGTCTATTATATATACATATAGTACATAAAATAAGAATTTTTAATTTAAATATTTATGAATTTTTTTAATTAAAAATTTTTTGTACTTTGAAAATTTTAAAATTTAAGTACAAAGATTAATTAGAAGGATGCATTTAATGTCTGCTTTGTAGTCAATTATTGTTAAATAGATGAATTATAACTTTATCTGTTGTAAAAGCTGATTTCTGATCTTATTTTGGATTTAAAATATGTTATCAATTCTTCTGTGACATTTTAATATTCAAATGATAATTTAAAAAATAAATATTTCTCCAACAGAGTCCTGCTGATAGAGGTGTTGGTATCCAAATATTAGAAAGCATATATAGGTTTGTTCTTGGTTCTTTCGCAGGAGGTAAGTTATGTTAATTAAAATATTATTATCATTTAAGGAGAATCAGACATCAAAAATATTATGAAAATGTTATTTAATTTATATTGAAAATTCACAAAGGTAATAATTTTTAAATATACGGTAAACAATGGAATATGAATACTAAGTATTGATGAAGAATCTTCATGGCAACTATATTCCATATTTGTACTTATTAAAGTTTTCAACTTTTGGTACATATTTTTAAAATAATCTTGTAACTTAACTTTTTAGAAGTTAAATTTATTAATAATGAAAGATTATTATATTGACTTGTTCTGAACTGTCAATGTTATTGTCAATGTCAATGCATCAATGATATTATTAATTGTTGATTAATTGTTAGATGTTAATTTACTAAAAAGGAAAAAATATATTTATCCAAATTAATATTTAAAAAAATGGAAGAAAGTTTATTATTTTGAGAACTAGATAGAATTCTTATCTTATTATAATCAGCATGTCTATTTCTTTCTTTTTTAAGTTTGATTAAACTTTTAAAATATATTTAAAGTTAATATAAAATGATTTGAAAGTTTTAAAAATCATAAAATTTTATAATTTTGCTTAATTTTTGTTAAAGTAATTGTAATGTTTTCAGTAATTATGACAGCTTTTCATTATAAGTTTTTCCACTTTAAATGATAAAGCAACTTTATTCAATGAGTTTTGCTTTCCAATTAATATTGTGAAATAACAAGATTCTTCACTATTGTATTATCTTCTTTCACTATTGTAAATCCACTATTAGGAACTAATCTTATGAGGGACACGGTTAATCATTGTTTTAGTAGTATTTTATTATTGATGCTCAATCAAAGATTCATTTTGGGCATAAGTCTCTCAAATTAACAGTTTCATGGCAGAGTCAACATTTAATTTGAGAGTACTGTTTGACATAATATTCATCATTTACTAATAATGAATGATTTATGTATTAATAGATTTCATTAAAATGAAACTATTCTTTTGTAATGGATGGAATTTTTATTATGTTAAACTGAAGTTTTTGTTGTTACGGTATTTGTTAAATTGAAATATTTTTTCATTCATCTGAGTAGGAAATTGGTGGATGGGGTTTGAGATATATTCATGGGATTTGAGATATATTCATTATATCAAAAATTGTGTTAAACTGGCATTTGTTGTACTGACATTTCAGTACTTAAACAGGTCAAACTGATGAGGGGCTTATGCCCAAAATGCATCTTTGACTGAGTTTCAACAATAAAATATTTCTAAAACAGTGATTAACTGTGCCCCTCGTATGATTAGTTCCTAATAGTGGATTCACAATAGCAAAAAAAGCATCTTGTTATTTTCAGGGTTCAAAGTCAGGGATTTTCATTAGTGTTTGGAAAAAGTCAGGAAATTTGTCGAAAATTGTCAAAAAGTCAGGGAATTTGTCTCCTTAACTGCGTTGTTGATCTCGTTTGCTGAATATGGATGACCAATCATAGCCATCTGCAGGTGGCAAGAAGTAATGCTGCAATCTTTAATAAGAAAATACACCAGAATCCATTTTGAAATGGTTTTTTTCACCGTTCTGAAGCCATATAATTTTACAGTTGTGGATTAATAACAGGATAAACTACTTTTATGTAATAATGTTTAATTTTTAATTTTAATAATTCAACGATTATAAAAAGATGAAATTGTTTATTAGAATAAAAAATAACTAATTAAAAATTTGTTTGCAAACTTTTAAAAGTTGAAATCGTAATTTATTAGAATGTTCACTTCAAAATAGCTAAACAGATCAGTAAAAATCTGTAATTTAATCGTTTTTCAGTTTAAAACATAAAAAATTATAAATAGTTACCCGACGTTTACAGTAAAATACTGGCGCTGACTTGTTGTTGGCACAAGCTTTTTATATTTGTTGTTACGATTTTCCTT